CAGATGGTCTGAGGAGCCCATCACTTGAAACAGTGTTTCTGGCCTCTCTTGGGTTTAACTGACTGGAGGCGAGGGCTGGAGAAGGGCTACCTCCAAAGCAATGCCATATTGCTTTAGAGTTGAATACAGAAAGCACTGCACCTCAGACCCCACGGTCCTTACCAATGTTTTCCAATGGCCTCAAAGGCGGAGACTCTCCTCTACCCCAGGCCCTCTCTTACATAAGCACAATTACCAAGGAACACTAGGAAAGATTTTAGGAAAACCAAACCGGCCAAAAGCTATGGTCTCAGGAGGGAAACAGCAACCAACATACATAACTTAGCAGTTTCCAACTCAGTCAGTGCCACAGCACACCTGGACAAGCTTTTGGGGGGAATTTCCATGTCTAACCTGTCCAGTCATCGCTGGAAGCAGAGTTCCCAGAGGTTGTGCAAAACCAGTCTGTGCTGCTGAGTCTGCTGCAGCGCCTGCTCCTTACTAAGGATGTGCAGGCAGTTCACTGGGCAACTTAAATCACAGCTGGACAGAACCAGAAGCAAGGGCTTCTGGGTATGAATTAAAGCTAAGCAGTAAATGCTAACCCTACTCTCACCGACAGAAACCCACAACAGAAAGTCTGGAAATCCATGCTCTCGGCCCTATCTGAGCAGTGATGACTACTGCTGGGGATGAAGTTCTGTTTTACCATCTCAAGGTCAAAAAGCTGGTGGGAACGCTGTTGACTGATGTCCCTTACCCACACTGTGGAGCCAGGATGGACATCACTGAGGGACATCCCCAGCCCCAAGAAGGCCTGGATCTCCTGGAAAAGAGACCACTCCCAGAAGCTGGAGCTGGCAGGTGGAGAAGATGCTGAGTTTCTGTTCTGATGGGAGAGCCTGGATGTCAGGCCTCTCCACAGATCACCACCATCACCCACATCGCTAAGGCAACACAAATCAGACCCTGAGGAACTGCTGGCCTCCAGAGCACACAGTGAGACAGAAAGAAAATAAACTACAAGGACATGAGACAGGAAAGAAGGCCCTCAGGCCGGGCTCTCAGCTGTCCTTCCCGCTTGGCAGACCCAAGAGTCTTAGGGGCTTGGACCTGCCTCTACTAAATGTACCTCCCCATGGGAGGCCTTACCTTCCTGTAGGAGGGAATGGGGGGGTGGGTTGGGAGGGGGAGGCTGGAGCGACAGGAGGGAAGAGGGGGATCTTTGATTGGAATGTAAAATGAATAAAAAAAAATTCTTAATAAAAAAAAGTAAAAAAAAAAAAAGTCCTACAGAGGAAACTCTGTGGTTCCTAAAGATGCTAATGGGGTGGTAAAACAACAAATAAGCCATGCTTCCTCAAGGTCAGAGTGTCTGACTCCTCTCCCATCCTTAAACACAAAAGGCACACCTCATAAAACTAGAGTACAACTTCATTTACAAGTGGAAATTCTTTACCATAAATAAGTAAACCAATTCATGTGTTTTTACTTATTTTTTAAACTATTTAATCTTTAATCCTTACGAATTATATCTTTTGAACAATGTAATTTAGAAAGCCACAAAATCACATGCATAAAAACCACAGAGACCCCTAAGTGCTCCTCTCTATTGTCTCGGGTACACATGCCCTTGCCAAACATCTCTGTCCGTCATGCTGAAATGTGTACCATCCCTCATCTTCACTCTAAACATGCTAACTTTGTTTCACTGACTTGTCCTCAAATGCTTTCCTGTGGCATAATCTGAGGGGTAGCAATGTTGGGCTGCACCTCCTTATTGTCGCTGGCATGAAGTATTTCCTTTCCAGTGACACACGTGACACTCAGAGGCAAATGTTACACATCCCTCAAGGACCATGCCAACGTGTTTGAGCTGGTGCATAGACAAGGCCCTGCACTGCAATGCACTTCCTCCAGAAAGTCTCCTCCATCCCTGGTCTGTGTCCATTGCCCTCTTCATACTTAGGTTCTGTATCGGTTCATGTCCACTAACAGCCTATGGCCTCTTTGCCAGAACTCAAGAAGCCAGTCCCAGGATGCAGACATACACTCGAACGTGGAAGCAAAGACCAAGCAACGGAGCTAACCTCACATCACAACTGGGAAACGAGCACACAGCACCTAGGTAGCAAGTGCCAGGCACAGGTACAGCTGACCTGGCCACTGTGCTGGGAGAGGTTACCATCTGGTGCTAGCTTCCAGCCTTGACTAGACAAGCGGAAGGATCTGCATCTTGTGAGGACACAATAATTAAAGTGTGGACTGTGTATCAGCTCCAGAAAGTCTAGTTAGCTTGGAGCTCTCTGAAGCACCAGCACTATGTGAAGAAAGAAAATGCTAATGGATACCTGCACACATCCAGCAAGAGGAAGGGCCCACCAACACCGACTTTGAAGCTCCAGCTTAGGAGTACTCAGAGATTTGATCTACAGCAGCTCCTGGGTCCCACCTGAGGATCTCAGTGCATGAAGGAATGAGAACACACGGAAGGGGACAGCAGAGGGAGACACAGTTGACAAAGTCAAACATCTAAGACTGAGCTGAGAGCCTGGGCCTAATCCAAGAAAGGAGGAGGACTGTGCCTGTTGCTGTCCAATCTGGAGGAGGCGACAGTGCAGAAACGGCCAGCCGACAGATTCCCACAGGGCAGCTGACTAAAGCAGCAGCTCTCAACCTGTGGGCAGCAACCCTTCGGGGGTCCAACCACCCTTCACAGGGGCACGTATCAGATATTCTGCATATCAGATATTTACACTACGATTCCAACAGTAGCCAAATTACAGTTACGAAGTAGCAATGAAAATCATTTATGGTTGGGGGTCACCACCACAAGAGGAACTGTGTTAAAGGGTCACAGCACTAAGGAAGGTTGAGGACCACTGCACTAAACAAAGATACCTCGTAAAGATGAGCCCTGAGCTAGTGAGAAGCCTGTGACTCTCAAGCTGAGAGAACCTAAGTCCTGGGATCTTCATTCTAGGAGTTTCCCATCCTCACATTCAACAGTGTAAAAGAGCATCATAACGAGCAAGCTATAATCAATCTGTACTTGTTAAGTTCTATATAAAGTTCTTAGCCTGGTTACATATGCTTAAATTTTAAACACTTTAAAAACTATTTTCTATACTGGAAAGTATGGATTTATTCTGGTCATTCTATGATTAACAACCCTGAAGTTCTTTTTCATTCCAAGGACTACTACTACAATTCAATCTGTCTAAAAAGATCAGCAACACATAACAGAATTCGGTGACTGGCAAATTTCAAACATTAATATGCTTCTCAATACTTAGCATTTTATTTTCTTTTAACATCCCCCAATCAAAAGAGTACCAAAGGAGATGTAATATAAACATTTCAATGTGTATATCTGCAGCTTAACAGCCTTAATAACTAGCTATAAAATTTTAAGAGCGATCGTATTTTGGTGGCAATTAAGAGTTATTGATATTTCTGAAATTCATCTGAGATTTTACTGTAACTTTAGCAAAAAAAAAATGGATTATGATATGGCTTTGGAAATAATAAATTGTTTTACAATCTTAACATTATTAAGAAAAACTTATTGCCATGAAATTAAACTATATCCATATTTAAAATTCAATCAAAATAAATTGCTATGTTTAAAATACATTTAATATTGACCCAGTTTAATGAGAAGACTATATATTGTTCCATTTATAATCAATATGTTATGATTAACACTTTTATTAATTTTCTACAGTAAAGACTGACACTATTCACTGTTTAAAAGCATCGAGCAGTATTCCTCAAACATTACAGCTATTAGGTGTGCACAATAACTAATGTCACAGTGGGAAAAGACAAACACAAGCCCCTCCCCATCAATGTACTACCATACAGGAGCTACTAGGATGGCAATGTCAGTGGGCCTAAGTTATCTTTAAGAAACTTGGGCATGGTGGTGCACGCCTTTAATCCCAGCAATGGGAAGGCAGAGGCAGGTCAATCTCTGTGAGCCGGAGGCCAGCCTGGTCTACAAAGTGAGTTCCAGGACAGGCAGGGCTGTTACACAGAGAAACCCTGTCTTGAAGAAAAAAGGAAACTCTGAAAAGGTTATGCAATGTATGTGGAGCTTGGACTAGAGTTAACAGCATTTCTGAGCTAAAGAAAATCAGTAGGAACTTCCACCCAGGACAGCCAATGGAAAACTACTGGAAATACTATCAATCAGGTCTCCTCTCATTGCAAATAAAAGCACTGCTGACTGGCCAAAGTCACCTCAATGGTAAACATTTTAAAAGTATTGGGGTTCCTTTTCCCCTCTGACCTCTGCAGACCTCCTACAGAGCTCACGCAGAAACCTTGTGCCTGTGGTGTGTGGAGTGCTTTTCCTGGCTCACAGAAACTACCCAGAAATAGCGACTGTAACTCCATGGAGACACTCACCTCCCTCTTCTCTCACACCAAGTGCTGACAAAGTCCTGAAGATAAAAGCCAACTCAGTCTCAGCAATGCCCAATGGCAGCGAGGGGGAATGTGTGCTGTGCACACAATCTATCTTCAGCATTAACGATAGTCTATAATTCTGTAGACAACTATTTTCTCAAAATCAAGGAAGGGAAAATTTGAGAGAGAGTATAGTTGCTTGTATGCTACAGCACAAGCTTCAACTTTTTCCAAAGGAAATTTCTCTAAAATGAATATCCTACCTCAGAAGGGAAAAAAACCAAAGGCACCACCTTTTCCTCTCCTGGCACCTGCTGCAGAGTCGCCACTCTGAGCAAAGTCAACGCAGCTCACGTCAGTCCTCTCAGCTCTTGCCCAGCCTTCCCCTCGGCTCCTCATCCCAGACTTGCCTCTGAATTAGAATAAAGACTCTGAAGTCTTTGGGGCCAGCTCCACTAAGGAGTCCTGTCCAGGTTCTTGTGGGCTATGGCAGCAAGTCCAGCTTCTGCACATGTGGGTGTCTAGTGCAATGTAGATCTGGAATGCTAAGGTCTTCAAAGGGCTGCCTCCTAATAGCCAGTAAGTGGCACAAGCCCCTGCACACTAACCTTAACCGCTGCTTATAATAATCTTCATCGCCGTCATCTCGGCACCTCGCTACCTTGCGACCTCCTCCTCTTCCTTCCATAGCTTCATCTTCTTCCCCAGAACTTGGGAAAAAGTCATCATCAACCTCATGCACTGAGACTTTCTTCTGGTATTTCCGGCCCTTCCGCAGAGGCTTCAGTTCATAGCTGATGTCATCGGAAGACAGGTTGGCCACCGCTTCCTCCTCCTCTTGCTCTTCCTCCTCTTCCCCATCGGTGGGAAAGGACCCCGACTCCTCCCCCTCGGTGTCTCCCTCAGCCTCTGGCCTCACAGCAGGCTGCAGATGGTTCTTCCCCCATGGCAATGCCGCTTTCCCTTGGAACTGCAGCGCCCTCTTCTGGAGCTTCCTGGTACGCTTCTTCAAGCGCTTATCTGCTCGGGAGAGGACTTGGCTGCTCTGGTCCCGTTTGGTCTCATTTGGTCCTGCGCTTGACTCAGATATGACCACGGCCTTTCTAGCTGCTTTTTTGTTAGCAGTTCGTTTCTTCCTCTCAAAAGACAGTTGTGCCTGGTCTGCCAAATATTTTTCAAAGCCTGATACTTCATTGAGCATTATCTTTCTAGGCTTTTTCTCCGGTTTCTGAGGGGCTGGGGTACCAAATGGTGTCATCTGGCCAGTGCGGATCAGTTCTTCCCAGGCGGCCTCCTGGGCGGGCATGAGCATACTGCCAAGACATGATGGCTCCGCCTCTGAAAAGGAAACAACAAGAAGACTCCAGTAAACTCTGAGACAGCACACAGGAAACAACCACTCATTCACAGACAGTAAGAACTTCCAACAACTCACAAAATAATCAGTGGACTGAAGCAGAGCAAAGTTTATTATGGCATTTATATAATATATTCCTGTTTAAAAAGGTATTTTCTCAGTAACTTGTCTCCAAAATATGACATCATGTAACTGTGGTACACGTATGTACCACAGAACACTGTGCAGCCATTTTTTAAAAGATGAAATTATTATACCTGTGACAACACAGAATGGAGACCGAACTGAAACAAGGCAGACACAGAAAGGCAAGTACTGTGTGCTCTCCCTTATATGTACATCTAGAAGAGCTGATCTCACGGAAGTTGAGAGTAGGATGCGACCATCAAGAGCTGAGAAGAACATCGGGAGGACAGGGAAGGCTGATCCATGGGACTAAATCCCAGTTAAACAGCAGCGGCAGTCTGTGGCGCCACTCCACAGCAGGAGGAGCGCAGAAACAAGAACTCCTGTGTGTTTCAATAGTGGAGTAAGGGTTTAGATGTTTCACCATAAAAAAAAAATGATAATGTTTGAGAAAACAGCCATGTTTAACCTAATTTACATACTACACAATATATATCATTGAGAAATCACAATGCCTCATAAATACACTAAATATATTTACCTTACTATACACTAGTTCTTTTGTCTACCTTTGAATTTGAGTAAAAATGTGTCAATTAGAGTCCTGTTCCCTGTCAAAGGCAGGCTTATCTACACACTATTGGTTATAAATAGACAAACTTAGCTGTGTTTCCTCATCCATGAGGAATGATCCCCCACGTTTCCATATCATTGCTTTGCCCAACATTCAGATGACCTCCGTTCATGGGGTCAGCATGCCTAGCTAACACAGACATGAAGGACTTACTCTGCACTGCCGGCATGTCACTACCAGTCACTTAGATCAGCTGTCTAACCCTCTGACATTGCCACAAGGCACTGCCATCTACAGATGTGTTGGGCTGCATTCATAGCTATCCCAGGACACATGTGGCCCACAGGACACAGGTGGCCCATGCCTGGTCAGTTCAGATAGGGGAAAACTGAATCCCACAGTTCCAATATGGAAGTGCTCAACAGCTAGATGTGACCAATGGCCAGCACACTGACCAACGAAGAGAGATCCCCTCACTGCAGAAAGGGCCATTAGAGAGCTGGGAAGATGGCCTGCTGTGAAAACATGACAACGGAAGTTTAACTCCTCAGTACCCATGGAAAGCCAGGCATGGCCACAAAGTGCTGTAACCCCAGCACTGGGGGCAGAGTCGAGTGGATCCTGCAGGCTCGCTTCCTAGCTAGGCTAGCTGGGACAGCAAGCCCGGGTTCACGTGAAACTCTGTCTCAAGAAATAAGGTAGAGAATGACAGGGCCTAGTCCTGATGTCCTCTCTGGTCTACATACACACACACACACACACACACACACCCCTCTCCTCTGGCCTCCACATACACACATACACACACACACCCCTCCTCTGGCCTCCACATATGCACACACACACACACACACACACACACACACACCCCTCCTCTGACCTCCACATATACACACACACACACATACACACACATACATCTCCTCTGACCTCCACATATACACACACACACACACACACACACACACACACACACACACACACATCTCCTCTGACCTCCACATATGCACCCACCCACCCACACACACACACCCCTCCTCTGACCTCCACATACACACACACACACACACACACCCCTCCTCTGGCCTCCACATATGCACACACACACACACACACACACACACACACACACACACACACATATACTGGATGACACCATGCTAGACATGTGATGTGAATAACATGAACAGATGAACTAAACATGAAGACATGCCAAGTATAGTCACCCAGAAACACCCCTCTCACTAACTGAAGCTGACCTCCAGCAAGATACTTTACCATGTAGTCAGAAAATAAAAGACCTACAAGGCCATTGTCACCAGTCAGTTTTTCACTACCCCTGCACCGAAATAAAATATACATCAGAGTACACAAGTCATAAGCTCTGTGAACATCCACACAAAAACAAGATCTGCAATTATATATCAGCATCCACATCAAGTAATAGAAATTACTAGTATTCCTGGAACACCCTCCACGCCACTTCTCAGCTTCCAGCCTCCCAAGATAGTGGCAGGCCTGACTCTAAGGATGACTCATGCTGGCTGCATTCATGTCTACCTGCCATGCCTGGCATTCTGCATGTGAGATCCATACTGATTTGCTAAACTGAGTTGAACTTTATTCAATTAATGTTGCCACTATTCTGTGATTGTACTGCAATTCCCTCTTTCTACTATTAATGTAGCTTGGGTGGTCTCCAGGTTTGGGCTGCTAGATTTTAGAACAAGGCTGCCATGAATACTCTGGTAGACATCCTTTAATAACAATGTGCATCTGATTCTTTAGTATGTTAAGCTTTAGTAGACACAGCTGAATAGATTTGCAAAGTGGCACTAGCTTAAGTTTCAAAAGTGTTGAAGAGTTCCAACTGGTCCACATTCTTGCCATTACATCATTCTACTGATTCCCACTGAAAATAGAAGGCCTTTCAGATTCACTGACCTCATGTTCTACTTTTGTGGACAAAATCCTGGACCCACTCTTCTTAGTCTCTGTCTTAAACCCTTTTTTCTGGGTTTGTGTGTGTGTGTGTTTTTTTTTTTTTTTTTTTTTTTTTTTGGTTTTTCAAGACAGGGTTTCTCTGTGTAGCTTTGCGCCTTTCCTGGAACTCACTTGGTAGTCCAGGCCGGCCTCGAACTCACAGAGATCCGCCTGGCTCTGCCTCCCGAGTGCTGGGATTAAAGGCGTGCGCCACCACCGCCCGGCGTGTTTTTTTTTTAATGCATTATAATTCAAGCCCTTTGCATGTCCTACAAATTCCTCCCCCACCTACTCTGCAGCTCCCCTTCTCCCAGTCTAAACACCATCTTGACAAGCAGCTCTTGGCTGTCATTAGAGTCCACTTAACAAACCATTTTCTTCCATGTGCACATTTTTGCTCTTGCTTCAGTCTTTGCCTCCCCTACACCCAGGATCGTGATTAATGTCTTCCCTGTGTTATGTTCTCAAAGCCTTTTATCATTACATTCAGATCTATGATCTGCTTAAGATATATTTTTATACACAATGTAACAGATCAAGATTCATTTTATTTTCATGTAGATTAGTATTATTGATCAAAAGACTGTTCATCATAACACTGCTTACCATCTTTGTCCTAATCAAGTGATTATACATAGGGGGGCCTGTTTCCTGAGTCTTCTCTTCCATCCACTGCCCTGTCTGAGTATCCCTGAGCCCAACACCACACCGTCTTAATCACTACAGTTTTATAATAGAGCTTGGCATTGTGTTCTTTCTCTTTTCTTCAATAAGGAGGGGTAAGACTACAGGTCTTACTCTGTAGGCTAAGCTAGTCTCAAATTCACAGCAATCCTCCTGATTCAGCCTCCCAAGAGCTGAGATGGCAGATTTTAGCATCAGCTTGTTAATGACCTTTACCTCCAGCCTACATGTCTTACACATGCCATTTGCCATTTAAAAAAAAAAAAAAGGCTCAGATTTGTATTGGGGTAGCATTGAAACTAGAACTGTGCTGTGGGATGTCTTTCTGTATGCTGTGAATATGTGTTACTCCCATTGGTTAATAAATAAAGCTGAATTGGCCTATGGCAGGGCAGGATGGAGCCAGGTGGGAAAATCCAAGATAGTGAAAGGAGAAAGGAGAGTAAAGGGAGATGCCAGCTGCTGCCCAAGGAGCAGCAAGATGCCAGCAGACCGGTAATGCCATGGCCACATGGCAACTTATAGATTAATAGAAATGAGTTGAGTTAAGTTATAAGAGCGAGCTAGCAAGAAGCCTGACCCATAGGTCATATAATTTGCAATTAATAGTAAGTCTCTGAGTGATTATTTTATAAGTGGCTGTGGGACCACAGGGCCAGAGCGGGACCGTAGAAACATGTGACCATGGAACCAGGTAGGACTAGAGAAACTTACAGCTGCACAACTGACAAGAAATAACATCTTTATAATACTGTATCAACTACAGTATATCTTTCCATTTACTTAGGTTTTTCTTTGTCAATAACATTTTGCAGGTTTTAAATGTATAAGACACTGTAGAACTACCTTTTTTACTAAGATTTATTTCTAGGTATTTAGATTACAACTGGCACCTTTATTAAACTTTATCTTTTGTTTTTCCTGGCATACAAAAGTGACTAACTTTTATGTATATGTATTCAATGCTATTTATTAAAAGTCACGGGATGATTCCACATCAATCGTTTGAATTTTCTATATAAACCATCACACGGCTATGAATAAGGATGGATTCTCTTTCCCACCTTTACTCTTCGAGCTTTTCTTCTTCTATCCCTACAGTACCCAGTATGCTGCTGAACAGAGAAGGTGGTAAGCACGCCTGCTACCCTCCAGGTCACACTGGTAAAGCCAGGCCTCACTGTGTTTGTAGTCTCTCTTCATACCACCTACACCCAGGAAAAGGGCTTCTTAACCTCATAGCCACCACAAGGAAAGGCCTCAGGGAAGCATGTGGGCAGCATACTTCCCTGACCCCTGAAGGGCTGAGAGAGGTCCACACTCAGCAATACAGAGCTGGGTCCCCAAAGCCTGGCCACTCTGGCATTCAGCTCTATGGCCTGTGCAGACAGGACAAGGAAAAAGGACAAAGAGAAGAACCAGTCTGCAGTGATGACTAGTGGTCAGATGGAGAAGAATCCTGCAAACCAAGAGTTCAGAAAAAAGGGGGCTACAGATTTGTAAGACACCAGATCCATGGGATGAGATACTCAGGGAGAGAAAACAGAACAGGAGCACTCAACAAGTCCTAAGCAATATCAGCATTTGAGATACTGCTGGATAAACTAACCAAAATAACTAACCAGAACTAATCAGAGGGCAGAAAAGAAGCCAGGAGGCAGCAAGCATCTGAGGCTCTCTCAAGACACAGGCAGTACCAGTTGCTGTCAAGAGGCTGACTCAGCAGAGGTGAAAAGAGGCTGCAGGACTTAGGGAGGTACTGATGAACTCTGCACCAAGCTTTACTAAAGCATCACCAGAACCAAAGACCAGCCGGCTTTAGACAAACAGACAGGAATAGATTTCCTTTACGGACAGGAATAGATTTCCCTCACTAGTGGGAAAGCCAGAGCCCAAGCGGCAGAAAACACCGATGTAAGATTAATGAAACACACGAGACTGAGCTTTAAAATAAATCTAAGGCCATGAGTGAGGACATACACACAATGCAGGAAGATCACAATTTTGAGGCTAGCCTGGGTTACAAGTGAGATCTTGTTTGGGGGTAGGGGAGGAAAACACATTTATTTTTTCTGTTGTCCATTGTTACAATCTTCACACTAGTCCTCCAGGCTACATGAAGAAAACATTCTAGGAGCTAAAAGAGAATGTTTGCTTCATCAGCTAAAGTCTAAGAAGCTTCAGTCTTTATATTTCAAGCAGGTACTGGCCAAGCAACGCCAACAGTGTGTAAATACAGAAACAAAGAAAGAATTAGTTCCAGAGCTTATACATTTTCCCAAGAGATTTTCCAAAGCACAACCACCCTGAAGAGTACTTGAAAGGAATACTGGCCATGGTCTAACTTGAAAGTCTTTCCTTAACAGAATGAATACTTGGAAAGCCCACCATGTTCCTTAAAGATAAGTGTGAACATCTACAGAGGCTGACTGATGATGCTGGACAGTGTGAGCATCTACAGAGGCTGACTGACGATGCTGGACAGTGTGAACATCTACAGAGGCTGACTGACGATGTTGGACAGTGTGAACATCTACAGAGGCTGACTGATGATACTGGACAGTGTGAGCATCTACAGAGGCTGACTGATGATGCTGGACAGTGTGAGCATCTACAGAGGCTGACTGATGATGCTGGACAGTGTGAGCATCTACAGAGGCTGACTGATGATGCTGACAGTGTGAACATCTACAGAGGCCAACTGATGATGCTGGACAGTGTGAACATCTACAGAGGCCGACTGATGATGCTGGACAGTGTGAGCATCTACAGAGGCTGACTGATGATGCTGGACAGTGTGAGCATCTACAGAGGCTGACTGATGATGCTGGACTGTGTGAGCATCTACAGAGGCTGACTGACGATGCTGGACTGTGTGAGCATCTACAGGGGCTGACTGACGATGCTGGACAGTGTGAGCATCTACAGAGGCTGACTGACGATGCTGGGGTTACAAAATGGACTTAATCACGATGCTAGTTCTCTTTATCAAGTTACATGCATAAGAATGTTTAAATTTCCAATTTGTTAAGCCTAACACTAAATGTGCATCAGTAACTTCCAGAGAACCAGGTTAACATTTTATTTCAGTCTCTAAAAACCTTGTGTCACTTAAGAGCTCTGGTTCTGTAGGAGGACACGATCTCCCCAGAACCATCTGACACTAAGGAAAGCAATGTGTTCTACAACACCTCCCCTGAATACAGGCACCAAGCATCAATTAAGAGCATGGCAAGCTGTCCCCAGCATCCTCACCTGTGTCTTCCTCCTCCAGGCTGGCATGATCCAGTTCTACTTGGACCCCGGCCCCTCCAAGGATGGCCTGGAGACGTTTCTGTTTTGCAGTTATCTTCTTTAGCTGTTGTTCCTTGAATTGTAAACCCCAAATACAAGACATAAAATGCAGTGATTTATTGTTAAATACAAAGGATTGTACCACAAAATTTTAAAGCTTTAGTCAAGAGTAAAATAAACATGAAATGGAAAGCCCACAGGTAACACCACCAGAGAGCCGTATCTGAGCAATTCCCTGCCCTGCAGCACACTGGCTTGAGCGCTCCTAGGCAGCCAGCCATGCCCACAGGCTGCCCTCACCCTTGGGCCTGAGCACTTGGATCACGTGCGCTGATGTGGAAGGTGGACATGTTCTCCAGGTCCCCTCTTTACACTCTGGATACATCACTAAACTCAGTCTCTGACCTTGGCAGCCAAACGGCTATGGCAGGCAACAGCCTAGAGTGGTGAACACCCAAGAGCTTAAACGGTTAAAGTCATGCCCACTGAGAACTGCCCAGGAATGGCATCCTTTACAGTACCCTACCCCACCAAAAGCTTTGAGAGACATTGTGCCTTTTTCCTCCAAGTACCTCAGACTCCTTTTTTGTCTCCCTTGGCATATCAGAACTCAGATGTGTGGCCTTCCTAAAGCCTCTCAATTAACCAGACCAAAGTGCTTCGATTATCTTCATGGAGAAAAGAGCTCTTGCCTAGCACACAAGGCCCTGGGTTGATCTTTAGCATTGAAGTGTGTGTGTGTGGGGGGGGGGGGGAGCAAAGGGAAACAACGGTGAACGCAAACAACAGCATGCTACCACGACGTTCAATTTGTTGTTTTCTCAGTCTTCCTCTCATCAAGAATATCTACTTAAAACACTTTTCCTCTGAAAATCCCAAACACCGACGTCTTGCTAAAGAAAGATGGGGAAACATAATTAGGTCACACCATGACCCAGTCACCTAAAGTTTGGTCCTTTCCATCCTTAAAATCCCAATCCCCAAGAAGCCAAATGCCCCCTTTTTGATTTATGAAGACTCCTCCGCACTGAACTACCGCCAGCTCTGACGTCTGGGTGAAATGGACTGGGACATGGAAAATAAAAGGAGGGCCACAAGAACCGAGTCTCTCCTCAGCCTTCACCTGCACTTAAAAGCACAAGTACTTCATGTGCTGCAACGCGTCAGCTGCAAGCCCAGGAACTAAACCATCAATGCTGTCCTTCCTAGTTACTGCCACTCCTTTCCACACGGAGGTGTGCAAATCCAAAAAGTGTTTCAACCTTCACGAAGTTGTGGATAAATCCCACTCTCCAAAGTTTCAAGCCTGAGCAAAGCAGGATCCTAGGTAACAGATCTTCCTCCCCTTGAGTTCTCTGCCTCTAAAGGCAGCCCCGACGTGGCTGTGCTGACTGCACCCAAAGCAGAGACGGAGCCTGTGAGGGGTGATGGCTGCATCCACAGGAAACAAAAGGAGACTCTTGGCTCAGCAAGACCTAAGCAGGACAGCAAAGGCCAGACAAAGCAAAGGGACTGAGTGAGAGGCCACATCCCAGTCAGAGGCTGGAATGGTAGCGTAACATGGTGACAGGAAAGACCAGGAAAGAACACAGAAGTGAGGAAGCATGCAAAACCACAAAAGAACTACTCACAAATATGGATGGATGGATGGAAACATATATATGTGTGTATATATATATATATATATATATATATATATATATGGATATGTATCTGCGTGTATGGGTTATTAAAAATACTATAAAGCAGAGCTGTCAGATCACACAAATAAAAGGCACCCCAAGCTGGGCAGCGGTGGCGCACGCCTTTAATCCCAGCACTCGGGAGGCAGAGCCAGGCGGATCTCTGTGAGTTTGAGGACAGCCTGGTCTGCAGAGCAAGATCCAGGATAGGCACCAAAACTACAGGGAGAAACCCTGTCTCAAAAAACTAAAAAAAAAAAAAAAAAAAAAAAAAAGGCACCCCAAATTTTTCCATTGTGGGGCTAGAGAGGTGGCTCATCGGTCAAGAGCAATTACTACTCTTGCAGATGACCTGGGTTCAGTTCCCAGCATCCATATGGTGGCTCACAACTATCTACAACTCGAGTTACAAGGGACCCAATGTCCTCTTCTAGCCTCTGCAGGCACCAAGCACACACATGATACACATACATAGATGCTGGTAAAGCACTCATACACTTAAAGTAAAAATACACCTTTTTAAAAAAAATGTTTTTCTATTATAATATTGTTTCACATAACACACGTCCTTTCCAGAACACTTCCTAAGCTGGTAAATGATCTTGACCTGTAACTTTGTTTAAATGCAGTACTTAGTAAGTCATTTAGCATCACCTTGTTATACTTCTGACGTTTTACAGAATCTAGTTTCCTGTTGACATCTCTGTTGGTGGCAGCTTGAGGGCTAAGTTGCTCTATAATTTTATTGATTTGTCTCAGGGATGTTGTACACGACCTGAAAAGTAAGAAGAATTGCTTGTTTTTTTTCCGTGGTAACATTTTCATAGCATAAAGTAGAGAAAATGATAAAAATGTATCTATTTTACTTCTTATGATCTGAAATGTAAACAAAACTAAAGCAGAATGCATTCTTCATAGCTACAAATAGATTAGAAGCATAAGATAAGTACTAATGCTGTTCTCTTCTCTGGGTGCTTCACTTCTCACGCCTGTGTGCAAATGACTCATTTTTTCTACAAGCATTTTTTAGTGTCTACTTTATTCAAGACAGTGGGGTAAGGACAGAACTCCGTCTAAGTTTCCTTTATATGTGAAGAAATTCATACACATCACAGAAGCCTCCCAAAGTTTGACAAAGTCCTAAAAGTGCTTAATCATTTTCCTTAAGTGAATCGCTTATCTGTGAAAATGTTTTCCTTTCACAGAACTGGAAATTTTTCTACCATAACAATAAACTTCATGGTGTAAAGAGAAAAGAACAACTGAAAATTAGTTGCTCCTAAAATGCTACAAAATTATTGCTTCTAATTTTGAAAGGAGAAAATCAATGTCATAATTTGCTGTTTGTATTCTTTACAGATTTCAGGGTAACAATGCAAGTTACTAGCTATCTAAGGCAGTAACTCCATAGCATTCTCCTCTGACACCTCTATAGAAAGCAGGACATAGTTCCAAGATCAATCACAGAAGGTGGGTCATTGCAGGGAACACTAACGGTTTCAAAACACTAAGCAAAAAGATGTGCTACTCTGGGGGCCAAAACTAACTAATAACAATAATAATTACTTGAACTAAAACAAATCAAACAATTAGAGACAAGGAACTGTTAAGAGAAAAGGTGCCCTTTAAGCGTCTGTAGAAACGTATTCCCGGCCTCTCCAGCTGGGCAGCACCACCATCAGGCTCACTCACCTGCCTCGTCTTTCCCCAGCCATGCACTGGGGTCGTCTTTTCCTCCCCCAAGCCAGGCCTTAGCTGCTCTTGCTTATGTCTGACCCTACCTAGACATCCCCAGGAGGATAAGTGAGCTCCACACTCCACTACCTCCCAACTCTTGGCCTCTCCCCCAGGCTGGCCTACCTACCACCTTCCCCACCGGAGGACTGCACTCAGCAGAACCCATGTCTTTCTCTACAACACAAAGAAGTCTCCACAGGACTGAATCTTTCTTTAGAGTCAAAAATAGGACAAAGGAAATGAAGGGCAGGGAGTTTATTCTCAATATTTTTATAAATGAAAATCTGAAAAACTGCCAAAGGAATAAACATTAAGTTTGGGAAGAGCAAACTACCAACTACAGAAGAGAGAAAGGTGCTGATGGGTGACAGTCACACTTCCGGTATCTTGCGTACGAAACTCCCATGGATATCTCCTAGGAGCACTCAGCATGTGCTTTAGGACAGACTTTCTCTCCCAGACCCTCGGCAAGGACAGGACTTTAGGAGCTGATCCGAGCACCCACCTATAGGCAATTTTGTTCCTGAAGGAACTGGAGCTCAAAATGCAAATGGAGTGCTATCCTAACCATTTCCCAAATCTCAGCTTTCTATTCCCTGAATTTCCCTGTCATATTTCAACTCAAGTTCTGAAAAAACAAGGCCCACACTCACATGAGGTCATCCAGGACTGACTGATAATCCTTCTCCGCATCAGCAAACTGGGCCACACGGCTGGCCTCATGCATCGCACTGTCCACCTGCTGAAGCACACCCTGCTCCAGGACGGCCTGGTCATAGACATCCACACCCAGGCCCTGCAGCTCCAGGGCCTGAGCACTGGGCTCCACTGAGGGGATCTGATGCCGATCAATGTGTAGCACGGTTGGCCCTCGCCTTGTGGTTGCCAACACACAAGCTTCAGCAGATGTGGATGGCCCATACTCACAGGAAGTAGAGAGGCACTCCCCAGTCTCTGAGTCCCCACCACTCTCCTGCCCAACCAGCATGTCTTCATTAGCACTGACATGCTGACTTAGTGAACAGTCTTGCTCCTGAGGTTGAGGTGAGCTGGGGATTTCGTCATGAGGCATCCTCTACAAAGTATCTAAAAGGAAAAGAAAAACACTGATAAGCCTTTTGGTTTATAGAATTATCAGTATACAATTTCTTAAATATGTTAAATGCACGATTTCTCAAAACATCAATAACCTTCCAATTAAATAAATTCAAGTTTCTAAGTATTAATTTCTTTAAAGAGTACAAATTATGATAAACAAGAAAAGCTAACAAAAATAAATAGAGTAACAGCAACAAAAGACACATAGACAGTGAATGAGAAAGTCAGTGGCCCAATCCTGAATGATATCCACAGAACGTTCTAAGACAGGTGAAATGACCCAGCTGCTGTTTTACCAGTTAGCATTTTCACTGGGCAGTGGCACGAATGCTTTATGTTGGAGTGGCATGGCCAACAGCATCAGTAATGTGAGAACTTCTATGGGAATAACAATAGAAACTTCAAAATTGAACACCCATCCAGTAAATGGAACATATCAGAATCTCAAAGATTAAGTAAAATATCCTCAAAAGATAACTCCATTTCAGATGTCTTCATCAAATCTCTACCCTCAAGGCTCAGAGATCTACATGGAAGAAGAGGATTGATTGGCTCAGAGGTGGTGGATGACTCCAGGAAAAACCGTGTCTCTGGACACAACAGGCCTGACCCATATGAACTCAAACTGACAGCATGCACAGGGTCTGCATGGGTGAAAACCAGACAAAACCCCAGCTCTCAGAAGGGAAGCAGACACGAGTCCCACCCCTAACCAAGAAGCTATCTGCAACCATACCTGCTAGGAAGGGGAACTCCGCTTTCCTCAACGGAGAGTCCCTGGGACATGAGTCACACTCCGGGCAGGCCCCATGCCCAGGAGTAGCTGCTGAGCACACAGCTGACCCCATGTTTTTCTGTGCACTTTTGTTATGTCTTGTTATTGTTTGGTCTCACTGAGCTGTTGTTGTTGTTAGTTTGTCTGACTTTCAGTTTTTGTTTCTTATTTTCTGTTGTTTTTCTTGGTTTTATTTATTTTTTTTTTTTTTGGTTTTTTCGAGACAGGGTTTCTCTGTGTAGCTTTGCGCCTTTCCTGGGACTCACTTGGTAGCCCAGGCTGGCCTTGAACTCACAGAGATCTGCCTGGCTCTGCCTCCCGAGTGCTGGGATTAAAGGCATGCGCCACCACCGCCCGGCTTGGTTTTATTTTTTGAGAGAGAAAAAGAACATGAAGTTGGGAGGGTAGAGAAGTGGGGATGATGGGGAGAGGTGGAAGAGGGAAAAATAGTATCAAAATATACAAGATTTTAACAAATTTAAATACAAATTTAAAAACTAACTCCATTTCAGTGTACAATATAATTTCTCACCTGTCAGGTTGGCAGGCACAACAGACACTAATGTAAGTAAGAAGAACCCACTTCGCATACTATTAGTGGGACTATACATTAGTATAGGTCTGCTCAGAGACAATTTAGAAATGTCAGTCAAACGTTTAAATGTACCTAACCTTTGCTCAGCAATTCCAGTTCCCAAAGACATTTATCTCAGACAAACACAAAATGCTATTTTCAGTTTGTTTCAGCTGACTTCAGTGATCATGTGACTGCCTGGGAACTGCAGTTTGCTGCCACTGCCCAGCATCATTAAGAGAGGACTGGACCACATACCACTAACTTGAGAAGAATCAAATTCAAAAAGCATGCTCTGCTTTTACCCCATCATCACATCAATGGTGTGTAAGCTATGGGACAGAGACTGTCTCTACTCACACACAGGTCCAAGAATGCCTAGTCTAACATGAGAATACCAACTATTTCCTACGGTGTCAATAAAGAGGATGTGCATCTGTGTGTGGGGGATGCATACAGAACATCTGAAAAGACCACTCTACACCTGCAACAGCTGGATGATGCCTCAGGAGCAGTGAGGGGGAAAATGACCTTTCACATCTTATCACACACTCAGGAACTTCTCACAAAAGAACATACTCACCGTATTACTGGTATAATACCAAATAGATACATTTAAAAAAACAACCAAGAGACAGTCATACTTTCTATTTAGCTGTAGAAAGACTAATAAACTTTCTTTAGGCATTGAAATTTTCTTTCTAAGAAATGATCACAAATTCTGCTCCCACAAGCACAACCCACTCATTCCTCATGGGATAAAATATCCCAGCAATCAAATGCTAGGATATAAAATGCCAACAACTGAGCAGCCTCTGCCTTTGGTGGCTCACTTTCTACTGGAAAATCCAATCAGTACAAGCCAGTTGGTGGGAGTATGGACTAGACAACACCACATGAGCTCAGGGAAGGGAGCTTCTCCAGGACCCAAGAAGAGCAGAGATGAGTTGATCTGGTACTGACTCCCCGGCCAGAGGCTAACGTGAGGGGACACCCAATATCTGCTGAAAGGAAGACAGGTTTAGAGAGGGCTCCAAAGTAAGAGTGGCCTAGGCGACTAAGTCACCAGTGAAATCAATCATGAGAAGACTCTCAGACAGGAAGCTGGGGGGGGGGGGGGGTGCTACTGAGTTTGTTCCAAGTCCCAACACGGAGACACTGTGTGGTCTGAATGCAAATCCGAGTTCAAGGGGGAAGGGCTGGGCGGATGCGGACACAGTTCTAAGAGCAAGAAGCCCCAGAAGTCCCAAAGCTCTGACAGGTGCCAGAGATCATGATTGAGGAGGGTAAGAAGAAACTAACACTAAACACTGAATGGTAAAAGTTAACATCAAAAAGAGACTATTCCTCCCTTTGGGGGCTTCCTGCTTATAGTCAGAGGAAAAGTCACCCTCCAACAGAAGGGTGACATTCTGGTTCAGAGCCTTGTAAGAGCTGGAATTCAAAGTACACATACTCAGAGCTTAAAGGAATTTGCTCATCTTTTTTTTTTTTTTTTTTTTTTTTTTTTTTTGGTTTTTCAAGACAGGGTTTCTCTGTGTAGCTTTGCACCTTTCCTGGAACTCACTCTGTAGCCCAGGCTGGCCTTGAACTCACAGAGATCTGCCTGGCTCTGCCTCCTGAGTGCTGGGATTAAAGGCGTGCACCACCACTGCCTGGCACTCATCTTTTATGTATAAAGGGATTTGTTTTTAAGTTAAAATATGTCAATTAAACCAAAATTATCAATAGTTTTATTATAGTCAAAGATAAGTTTACAAAAAAAATTTAAGGAAACTGATGATTTTTAAACAGAATAAAATACTGATTAAGAGAAATGAATTGAGTAGATTCCATAAGGAAAGCAGGATTCAGTAAATTAGGACATTGGTAGCTCAAGGAGGATGCCAAGAAAAGAAGTTTCTAGTTGGGCATGGCACCACACACTGGAATCCCAGCACTTAAGATGTTGAAGCAGGAGGACAGTGAGTTTAAGGCCAGCCTGAACAATATATGAAATATAAATATATATACCATTTGAAAACAAGAAGGGGAAAACAAATGAACAAATCAGTGAAGCAACAGACACAAAAACTAAACACCGGACTGTCCGAGGTCAGCAGGCAACAGGGCAAAGAAGGACACAGGGAGGCAACCTACCCTTAAGGACCTTGGCTACCTACATAAGGGAGAAAGACAGAGTGATAAAATAATGCATGGTTTGTTGGAAAGTGAAGAGAAAACAATATAACGTGATGGTAGAAAACAGTATGATGTGATGGGTGGAGAGAACATAAGGGATGACTTGAACAGGAAACTGTGCAGCAACCGGGGACGGTCCCAAATAAACGTGACCAGAAGGCACAGCTCATGTCTATCTGCCTCTGGCTGGAGAGGGATTCCTGGCGTAACTAAGTCTACAGATGCAAAGGGGAGCTGAGGTGGACTACAGAGAAACTAACTCCATAAGGAAGAAGCCTGGGCGTCTCCTCAGTCAGTCACAGTTGGGACAGGGTCAGAGAAGAACGAGAGTCTGGAACAAACGCCTGGAAGGACGGCCGGTGATGAGAAATGAGTACTGCGGGTGCGTGCGGTCCAGAACTGGCTGGCCAACACTTCCAGCACGGTGCAGCCCCTCCTGAGCAAGCAGGCCTGGGGAAGTGTCAGTTCTTGGGATGAGCAGAGTAGGAGTGGGAGAGCAAAGTATTAAAGCTGAAGAAAAGCAACTGAAGCCGGCGGTGGTGGCACACGCCTTTAATCCCAGCACTCAGGAGGCAGAGGCAGGCAGATCTCTGAGTTCAAGGCCAGCCTGGTCTACAGAGCGAGATCCAGGACAGGCACCAAACCTACGCAGAGAAACCCTGTCTCAAAAAAATCCAAAAAAATTTAAAAAAGAAAAAAAAAAAAGAAAAGCAACTGAAGTAACAGCTTGGAGTTCACGGTGGGGTGGGGGTTTGTTTTCTTTTATTTTTAGTCAGAAAGGAACTGGCAGAGGGCACAAGCCATTAGCTTCTAGTGGAGGGGATGTAAACTTGAAGGCTTTGATCAAAGTGCTATGGTTTCAGAGGTGAAATAAATCACACACTAACACACTGTTACTGACTCAATTACACCAGGCATTAGGCGCACTAGTTCCTCTGTGCACAAAGCTTGGTCTCTTGGGAGGTCAGGAATTAAAAAAAAAATGGCATTAGTATAGATACATAAAAGTGCAATTGTGGTGACGGTTATAAAAAGAAAGTACAGAACTCTACAGTAAACGAGACCTACAGTAAAGGAGACCTAAGTGAAACTGTGAAGGGAGGTGTGAGGCAGAGGTGGCCTCTCTGACAAAGGAACATTCTAAAGAATGAATGCGATTTAATCAAGGTCAAAAGCAGTTAGTATCTTGCAATGAAATAATGAAGAGGATGGGACACAGAACTTATTTGTAACCAAGTTAGATGGCTGATTATAGTCTTGCTTACTATGTAAATCTTACAGAATCGCTTCAGATACATCCAAGACTTACAAGGCTAGGAAAACAGACTTGCGTCTTGGAGTTCTGTGGCCCACGATCGAGCTGGATTAGGGTCTGGAGGGTTACCTGTAAGTAAGCATGGTTTTGAGAACGGGCAGGCAAGAAGGGCCAAGTCACACAGGTCTGGGAGAAAACGTGCTTGTAAAAAAATCTTTTTATTTCAAGTGTGCACTGAAACGGCTCTCAAAGTGTTTCAGGATGGGCGACAACGGCAGGACTCAATTAATAGTCGTAAAAGACGGGTTGGACCACTGTACGGATAATGGAGAAATAGCAATGCAGTGCTAATAGGAGGCGGTCTAGCAAAAACAGCTAAGACGGAGTAGTCAGGAGGCAAACGACCAGCGCTTGGAAGAGGGCGACCGCAGTGAAGATGACACACGAGGGAATCCAGGTCACAGCATTCACATCTCAATCCTTCCCACTCAGCTTTGCATCCGTGCGGAAGGCGCCCGGGCATGCACCACCCCGACTCTCAAGGGACGCCATTATCGTCATCCGGACCCAACAGCGCCCTGCCGGCCCTGCCGGCCCTGCCGGCCCTGCCCGCGGGGCCCCATTCACAAACCCAGAGGCTGGCCCGGCGCCGCGACAGCCCCCCGCCCGCCGCGCAGGTGAGAGCGTGCGCCACGCGTCACTTCCGGCTGCAGGTGAGCCCACCGGAAGACAGCCGGCCCGAGGGCTGGAGAAACCACGGCCGGCTCCGGTGGGCTCCGCGGCAGAAGGCTAGAAGCCCACGGCGCGAGGCCACGGCCGCATGGGGAGCCCGAAGGGCAGGCACCCCCACCGGACCTTCAGTCCGGCTGCCGAACACTCACCCGGGACCACGCGGCTGCCCAGACGAAAGCTTAGTCTCCGCAGCCGCTGGGAGCGTTAGTGGAGAGTTTAGCGCACGCGCCCTAGGTCTGCGATAAGCACCGCCCCTAAGGCCGGCGAGGCCAACAGCGCATGCGCTCCGGTCGTGCCGTTTGTTTGTAAGCAAGGGCGTGCCACGTGCATTGACCCCAGAGAGCAGCACCGCGGCCTTTGTCCCCGGGCTGAGTGGAATTGTGCTGGCATATCTCTAAACAGTAGTAAAAGAACCCTTATCACTGCTCACCACCGCTACCCCAACACACACACCTGGGCAGGGCACCTGAGTGCGTGCATTTCAGGCACAGTGGACACACATAGATAACTTGATTGCATTAACTCATTTAATATTTGTCCCGAAACTCGGTAGTAAGGAGAATTCTTCGCCCAACCAAGAAGTCTGGCTTGGAGAATTTACAAAGAGGAGGCTTCCCATGAAATAGCTGTGCTAAACTGGGGATCCCAAGTATGCCAACAATGAAGAAAGTGGAACTGTCGGGGTCCATGGCACAAAGGGACGTGATTGAGGGAGGGATGTTTGGGAATGGGGAGTGTCAGCAGTGAGAGGCTGTGTGCTGCCATCCTCAGCAACCCAAGGCTAAACTAAGATTCGTGCCTTCAGTGCTGAAAGGAATTTTAAAACTAGCCAGTTGATGAAGCGGAGTTGAAAGCCTTTATTAAAGATATTTTGTAAAGGGCTTAAGCTCAAGACTTAAGAAAAGGAGAGGCTCTCAGAAAGCAAGGCCCGCATGAGGGCATAAGTGGGCCTCTCGACGAGCTGTGATTGGCTTAGTATTAGCCAAACACATCTTACATCTCCAAAGACTGCGAGAAGTTCTCTCCCCTCCCCCTTTGCTCTTTCACTTAGTATACGAGATGATAACTCTGGAGGTGCCTTGGATAGAATCTTAAAGTAAAAACAAGAGTCTGAGCTGGCCAGAAGACCAAAGGAGTAAAGACTCTTGCCACCAAGCCTTAGGACCTGATTTCTGTCTCCAAGCCCCACGTGGTAGAAGGAGAGAAGCGACTCCCACAACTTGTCCTCTGACTGCCACGTATTAAAATGACCTTTGTTCTCCTCCTCCTGGGCTCTGCCTAGGGTTTGTAATGTTAGGCTATATAAACTCCTGCCTTCTCCTAGAGGGATGGAATCATTTCCCTTGCTCAGCTGGCTCCAATTCCACTTCTCCTTTGCTGGTACTCTTTCTTTTTTCTTGCTGGTACTCCTCGTGTCTTTACCCAGGCACCAGTCAAGGACTTCCGTTCCTAACTGCACCAGAATATTCGCACAAATGGAACCACTGATGCACTCGTGAGGTTCCTTAGATAGGTCTGATGGAGGGGTAACCTGATAACCCTACCCAACATTAAAAAGCGGGATCTCTACACAGAGAAACCCTGTCTCGAAAAACCAAAAAAAAAAAAAAAAAAAAAAAGGCGGGATCTGAGCCAGGCGGTGGTAACATAGGCCTTTAATCCCAGCACTCGGGAAGCAGAGACAGGCGGATCTCTGTGAGTTCAAGGCCAGCTTGGTCTACAGAGTTCCAGGACAGCCAAGGCTACACAGAGAAACCCTGTCTCAAAAAAAAAAAAATAAGAGAAGGAGGACAGTTTATGGTAAGAGGATGACTCTGTGCCCACCTGAGTACACAGACATCTTTGTGCTGCCTGTCTGCCAATAAGCAGAGATAGGAATGTAATCTTAAAGTTGTGCTCTATTCAGAGAGCCAGCCATCTGAGAAGACAGGAGGCTAGCATCATAGAGATCTATCTTCCATTACTCTCCAGCCTGAAAATTATATGGGGAGAAATGGGGGTGGGGGCGGAACAAAGGCAGTTAATGATTCTGGAGCTTGGACTTGCCTCTCTGGCCAGGTGGTGAGCCAGGCTTTTGAGACCTGTGATGTCTATGCTTCGCTTATTAGCATCCCTGGCACTCTTCCCTCACTCTGGATGTGTGGGCTCAATAACTTCTTGCAATGCTGTTGGTAACAACCTTGAACTCCTCCGGGGCCTCTGGCTGAGAGGCAGTTAACTCGGAACCAGTCGCTGTGGAGTGTTATGTAGTAGTGTGTGATGTACTGACTGTTGCTTTATGCGTATGGTATCCGAGTATGTCTTTATAGCACAGAATATGAAAGCGTCCTGTCTGTCCCTCCCAACTGCTAATATCGTCACTCCTGGCTTCTCTGTCAATCTCACTTGTCATGTCTGGAGTTTGGGTGTCACAGCCTCGGTGTCTGCTCAGGCCTCCTTCGCCTGTCATTCACACATGCTCCACTAGGCATGTCAATCTTTTGTCACTGTGACATGACATTGTTATTTACAAAGTTCATGAAAGAACTATGTGATCAAGTTACCAAAAAAAAAAAAAAAGGTCACAAAAATGTGTAACATTTTAAGTAAGTTTATAATTGTATCAGGCCACATTCACAGCTAGATTGGAGCTTATGCGCTGTAAATGCTGCAGGCTGGACACCCCTGTGACAGCCACGTCAGGTCCTGTTGACTGTCACTTAGTGGGAGTCCAGGAACTCTGCCAAAGCCACTCTAGTTGGCATTCTCTGAGGTTTTCATTGACCCCCACTGTTTTTATTACCTTAGCCCATGGCACTTCTGCATGTATCCTCACTCCCACAGATCTGTGCCCACCTCTAGCTTCGTACACAAAAATGTGTCTCCCACAGGACAGCTCTACAGGGCAGACACCGTGCCCATTTCCTCCACAAGCATACACACATGTACATGTACCCCATGATCCTTTGCTTCTGTGGCAGTTCCTGAGGATCTCACAAATGACACTGTGGGGTCTGAGACAGGATTTTCTATTCAGACATGTCTGATTTCCAATTTAAACCCAGCTTAGGAATCCCTGCATAGTTTGACAGCTAGCAATACTTACCTTGAATCACATGTTCTGTCTTCAGACTACTAACTGCCTGGAGACATAGGTGTGTGCTTTGCTCCCTTACACTGAACTTCCTGGACAGTTCAGGGAGATCCAGGGCCCTTGTCTATCCTGAACATGGACTGAGAAAAGTTCATGACTCAGGACCAGGATGCTCAAAGTACCTGTGGCTACTAGTGTTGAGCCTGGAACCCAGAATGGGATAGGCCAGGGGAGTGTCCAGAGCTCTGCTATTCTTCCACAGCTCCTAAATATGCCACTGTGCACTTCTCAGTGGCTTGATGTGTAGATGGATTTTTCTTTGAGCCACCAACTCACAAAAAAATGACAGGGAGACTTTTTAATTATGAAAGCTCAGCCTTAGCTTAGGCTTGTTCCTAACTAGTTCTTATAACTTAAGTTAACCTATATTTTTTAATCTATATTCTTTTATGTGACTCAGTTATCTTTACTCTGTATTCCCCATTCTGCTTCCTCTGTATCTGGCTGGTGACTCTGCCTTCTTCCCTGCATCCTTTCTGCCTAGAAATCCTGCCTAGCTTTTGGCCCTTCAGCCTTTTATTTAACCAATCAGAGTAACACATCTTCACAGTGTACAAAAAGATTATTCCACAGCATTGTTGAACATGTATTTCTCAAAGTTCTGAAGGCTGAAAAGTCTACATAAAAAAATGCTACTGAGGACCACGAGACAGGACCACAGTGAGTAGCCAACTTTTAGTGGATAGCTTGGTTTGTACTGATATGACAGAATCTCTGAGCCTAGATCATTTACAAACAATACCAGTTGCTTTCTTAGGGCTGTAGAGGAGGTCCAACATCACAGCACTCACATCTGGTGAGGGCCTTCCTGATGTGTTGTCCCATGGCAGAAGGCAGAAGATCAAGAAGGCAGGAAGAAGATGAACTTGCCTTTGTGACAAACCCATGCCTTGGGAAACATTAATCCATTTATCTCTTAATTCATCCTGATCACCTCTCCAAGACGCTGCCTATCAATACAGTTGCCATGGGATTAACATCCCGTACATGAACTTGAGAGAAACATTCACACTACTACAGCAAGTATGAAATGGTTTCTAAATAGGAGACACTTCAACAGTTTGAGTGACAGGAATTCCTCAAGACAGCTATGAGAGGGTTGGATGGGAAAGGATTCTCAACAGGAAGCAGCAAGGCAAAGAAGCAAGACAAGTGGAAGCTGGCATATTTAAAGACTAGGCATTGGAAGCTGGCATATTTAAAGACTAGGCATTGGGCTCTGACTGAGGCCAGGATCGGGAAAGACCAAAATCTAAAATTCTGTAAGCTAGACATGGAATTTAGAATGATTTTAGTTATTAAGTAACGAAGAAATTTGATTGGATTTCCATTTAGAAAAGAGTATTCTAGTATAAGCATAGTCATACAGATCAATAAAATAGAACTCTTACATCCGTTTTCAACTGGGTTTCAGTGAAGATACCAAACCCATTCATTCAATGGGGAAATAGTAATCTCTTCAACAATGGTGCTGAGATAGTGGATGTTCATTTGCAAAAGAATTGAAAATGGAAGGGAGGATAATGGGGAGTGAAAAATATTCAAAAAAGAATGAATTTGGGACCCTATTTCCCACTACAAAAAATTAATTCAAGAGAAACCAAAGAGCTAATGTATGTACTAACACCATAAGACCTTTAAAGAAAACTTAGGAGTTAGCAATTTCAACCTTGCACTTGACAGTGGATCCTTAGATATGACACCAAAGCATGACCAGAGAAAGAAAACCGGATCAATTGTGCTTTGTAAGAACTGCCACAGCTTTCTCCTGTGACGGTCTCCATGTGAATGAGCCAAGTCACCTCTATGTGATGGTCTCCATGTGAATGAGCCAAGTCACCTCTATGTGATGGTCTCCATGTGAATGAGCCAAGTCACCTCTATCACCGGAGTGGGTACCAGATCAACTCAGGATGTGTACATAGCCACATTTGCGTATGGCTGGATTAAAACTTCCCAGTTCAGCCTGTTTGATTCTCCCGTTCATTTTTCTTTTCCTAACATCTGGAGCTAGCACAATGCCTGTGCCTCAGAGAGTGAAGGGATAAATGTTTGCGTCTCTGCTCACTTTCTTCCAGCTAAGCTGTCAGTCTGGGATGCTCCGAGAG